TGGGTGTCTTCTCCATCAACGGCTCTCATCCGGGTGTGCGTGGTTCAGCAGTGGACGTACTCAACAGGCAGGGAGGCGCGTCGCTGTGAACTCGATGTGTTGAAAAAGTCTTTTTTGGGACGGAGGAACAATCCCTCTATATTCAAGTGAAATATAGACCGAAAAAAACGTTGAGTCCACAACGAACGTTGCGCGCACAACGATGTGCCTCCCTGCCGGCTGAGCGCGGCCACTGCTAACCCACGCACAACCGGATGAAAGTCGTTGATGGAGAAGACACCCAAGAAGACAAAACATGAATCGATGGTTTAGAGGACGAGAGCTGGATAGTTTTGTACTCACATGTCCTCTCAAGCGGCCGACTTTTTGCCGTTGGGAAGCGCTGACGCACGTTTTGGTCTCTTTTTGACACCGAGAACATTTTTTCTCGCAGGCACGGAGCGCTATCGCCACATATTGGCGGGCACAGCATCAGCTCAGTGCATCAAGGGTTGTGGGGAGCCCTTTGCGAGCTCGTTACATTCAGTTTCCATCACGCATTTATTTGTGGTTTGTCTGTCACAAATCGTTTGGTAGCAGTAGACCACGATTCCCGCCGCACGTGCGATGCATTTCGAGAAAACCACACGATAAAGATTTTTTTGCCCATAAAAACGGTACTCAAATGTTCCTCTGGCAGATATTCGCGCGCAAATGTTTGACAACATTTGAAGATTTTTTTCAAAGATTTGGCGACCGTAAACATGGGTCTCAGAGACAGATTATTAGCAATGAATTCATAAATATCGTCAGAAAAAGCTACCTGGATGTCTACGATTTCCCAGACAGCGTAAAGGGACATCTCCCCTACGGGTAACAGGCTCAACAAAACAGTTTGGTAGCTGTCTTGTTGTGTGTCTCATATATATTATGTTGGGAAGGTGCAGCAGAAAGAAAGGTGTTGGGTGTACTGTTGGGTAGTCCTTTTGGAGTAGGTGGCGCGCCAACTCCAGGGCCTTTACGCTGGGCGCTGGGTTTTATTTGGGCGTCCGCTGGACGCTGGACATGTTCTTGCAGACTGTGTGTGTGCGTGTGGGTGGTGCCTGATGATTGTGTTATGTGTGTGGTGCCTGATGTGTTGTTTCGAACAAAGTTGAAAGTTGGCAAAAATTTTCCTTACGGCGGGCGCTAACTGCTGTAGACTATGCATACTACTACAGAATTTACGCGTACACCCACACCCCCCGCAACGGTAGGTGAACTGATCATTGCCAAAATAAAAGTGCTCGACTGAGCGTAACACTCGTCATTTCCGCCATCATTACAACAAACATCAAACAGCAGTTATGATACAAGCTTCAAGTTTCCACACAAGCGAGCGCCAGCCTTCCTTGAGATGACAGTCACAGTCTCTGTACTGTACGTGATACAACAACTCAGCCAAACGATCTTACCGTGTGAGGAAGGATCTCAGAAGAACCGTTCTTACTCCTCCACTAGGTGGCAAGAAGGGAGTGGGTGCACGTCGAGATGCGATGATGGCGATTAAAATGAGGAGGTGGTGGGAAGATGAAATGGAATAACTGGATGGTTTAGGATGGCGATTTGGACCTCTGGTCTGGGTCCGTTCCCAAAAGGTCTGCAAACTTCATAATCTCCGATGGTCCCCAACCCGGAAATATTAATATTCACGGAAAGACGATTTCTCCCCCCATCGCTCTCCCCCGTAAGTTCCCCGCACACAAAGGAGTGATGATGTAACGAACCGGCATTGGCACCATGCACACCAGCTGATGCACACACACATGCGTGCGCAGTCTGTACTGTATTTAGGTGGTCCGGGTTCCGGGGTGTGGGTGCACACTTACTTGGAGATACGAAGCAGGTAGGTGAAAAGATTCTTGACAGGGATGTGGCGGGTACAAGAGAGACGAGCAGACGAAGTCCTCTGTCCCATGCACGCACATAGTCTACACGCGGACACGTGCACATCGCTACACAGCAGCGGGGTACCCTCAGTGCAGTTCCTGTACCATCACCATTCAGAGGAACCGGCACTATTCAGGCTGTACCCGCCCAAAACACCGGGTGTCAGCTCAACTTTCCTCCTGCGGGCCCTTGTCTGTGTTCTTCTCCCACAATCCGCATGGTGTACAGAAAGATTTGTCCCGCTTCCCGGAACTGAGACAGAACGGGGGATGGATTCAACCGACAAAAAAAATAAGGCAGCCCGCAGGGGGAAGGCAGCCAAAGACGAAGGGTGTTCAACTGAAGATGTATATAGTGGTGGAGGTTTGACGGGTGCTTCGAGCTCGGTATATCATGATCTCGAAGAAGGTGGGCATGATGTGGCACTGAACCATGAATCGATCTTTCTCCGTCTCATGGACCATCATGGCCGACGACCTGCTTTCAAATACAACAGCCTGAGCTGAGCCACCGAATTATCCATCACATACGTACGTTATCAGACAGGCATACATCAGGGGTGGAAAAGAACAACGATCACAGCATTGATGTCATCTTCCGCCGATACATGGCCCAAAGAGGGAAAGGGTGGGCTTATTCATGCGACATGGGACTTGGTGTTGTTTGGAACTGCTGGGTGGGACAACTCTCACGGGGATACACCTTCAACGACATCGGAATGGACAGTCTGTGCGCCAGTTATTCATGCAGCGCCCCCATTGCACAATATGGGTGTTCCCCAACAAAGGGTCATTTACATTGTGGACATCACAAACGACATTTATTCTCTTTTTCAACTGGGGGCGAAAGGTGTTGCAATACTCAGCGCTCACGATGTGAAATCAGTGTACGGCCATCTACCAATATCCAACACGAACAATATTCACAACAACAACAACACCAGCAGCAGCAGCAACAGCAACAACAACAACAACAACAACAACAACAACAACAACAATAACAACAAAGAGTGAATCGGAAACAACGAGCGAGGCGAAGAAAACGCGATCGCGTTATGAAAATAAGCTTCAGAAAAAATAATTTTCTTCTTTCCCAGTTGGACGTACGTCCGCAACCCGCTCAACCGAGAGCTTCCTTCCTACGGTAACTCGTGGCCGTTGTGCTGGGTTGTTCCGGCTTCATAGTCACTACTTGTCCACCTTTGCTCGAAGAAGCCCTTCGCTTCCGATCCAAGGATGAATGACGAGGCCTTGGTCCAACATTTTGGTGGCCTTCTGATTCGTAATGAATTCATTACAGTAGTTCCGCGTCAATCAATTCCGCGCCAATCGCAAACTCTCCTGCACAAGGTTCAACGCAACACAGTCACTCCTTAGGTATGTATGCCAGTTTCAGGGAAAAATTCCGGCACTATGAACCGCGTTGGACGTATTCTGTACAACCTGAGGGTGCGTCTTACGTTTCGTATGCCGAGGTACAAGCTCGTACGCTGATTCGTGGCCACCGCGGCGCTTACAGTCCAATCTCGTCACAAGCTAAGGCCACACCATGCTCATGACCAGGAGCAGGTAGAGGTTTGTGTCCGGATCCGTTCGCGTGTTCATAGCCTTACCACTTGAACGTGCACATGCGCTAGATGCAAAATTCAAATACCCAGACTTGCGATATGTTTGATATGATCGACATGGCGCGCGTGCATGCGCCGACGATTCCTAAGTGAGTGAAACTGATGACACTGACCAGCAGCAGGATATTCGGGTAAAAAACATATTTCTTTCATGGTTCTCCAGACACTGGGTTTTCATTGTGAATGCTCTTCATCCGCATGCTGGCGTGGAGCGCATGATTAGCGCTTATGGGTCTCAGCAGCACCTCAGTGAGTGAAACTCATATCATCCCTGACCAGCACAACGATCGGGATGTATTTGTATTGCTTTCCAGCACTCTATATGTGAATGTGAATTTGAATGTGTTTCGTCATTCATAACGCGGGCCAACCTAGATGTGACCACCATTAATCACTACTCAATACATTGTTGTACCCAACAGACGATGGGCACAGAATATATAGGGACGCTTGCAGGGAATGCGTAAAGCCTTATCTCCCACTGTTTGTGGGAACAATATGATTGTAGGATTGCAACCAATCCATATTTGTGATACGTTCTACAGTTAAATATGGTATGGAAGTACCTTTCTTTGTGACAAGGACCAAACATTGACAGCTCATGCTTGACAAGGCACAGCCGCGTCGAATACCGGAAGGCGACGATGACCTAGGGACTTCCGATGTCGAGGCACCAAGTATGTGCGGAGTAACGAATAGAGGGAAGTTCTTTTCGTGTTTGGAGGTAGCCCATATCGTGAAACTGTTGTTGACGCGACCGCTGTGAGCACCAGGTCCCAATGTTGCGGTAGACGGGCACTAAATAGAACCTTTGAGCGAATGTGGTAGCGTTCGGACAGACCTCTGAATTAATGGCTTTACTCTTCGGGCTTCGGGTGTACCACAAGGTGACCGAAATGCACACATCACAAGCGTGCGGGTGAAAACCCCAGGTACAGCCACCACAATTTGTGAAACACGCCGTATGGGAGCCGTGGCGCGACGTGTCCAAAAGTACGTGCTGAACCTGCTGCAGGCTGGCGGCGACCGCGCCTTGGTTGTATCCATCGAAGCGGTACTCTAGTTGGCCAATGACCTTTCCGCGTCAGACCATGCGCGGCGATGTTGTTTTCACAGTGGCATCCGTTCTGACCTGTACACGGAAGTAGCTTTGGGACGCCCCGCGCTCCCGAAAGTTGGATACAAACCTTTTGGCGCAAGTCCTTTGTGACAACGCTCACGATTTCTCCCCGATCGTGACGCAATGGGCAACATGATGTATGCCCACTTAACTTAGGCAGGCACCAATCTGGTTCATTTCTATGAGTTGATTCCTTCCACCCGTGCACCTCTTGTCTACTGCATTCAAATTTTGAAAATCAAACAAAATTCTAGCGACAACGTAGTTTGAAGCAAAGAAACATTTATCCTGAAAAAAGGAGATGAGTGATCGATTCACAAACTGTTCACACGCAGCGACCTGCGTCATTGTTCACCCTAACGTACGGACGGCATAACCTTTCACCACACGTAGAACATTGACACAACACCGCTAATTCCCCAACGTAATAATGAAACTTTGCATTACACCATACCACAACTACATCACACGCACCGATAACCGAGTCGGCGATATGCACAAGAAAACGAACCTCATGAGCGCACCACACACTGGAAGACCGTGCAAAGCATGCGAACTACGTGGTCAAGCATTCACTCTGCGAGAAACGACTGGCAGGCTACTTCCCCGAACGAAAAATCTTCGAAACTAAAGAGAAAGGTCCAAGGAGCGCATCTACTCTACGACGGTTGCTCTTCTTGAAAATCTTCTCGCCGGGTGGCATCGGCCAAAAAGCTAAATAGCAAGGGGCCAGACTTCAGGCACGAAAACAAGCAAGAAAATTGTTCACACGAGCTGCCCTGCGTACTCCGCGCGGGGGTACTTCACGAGGAGCTCGGGCCAGTGCACCACGAACCGATCGGCCAACAGATACATGATACGACCGCTCAGGCTCAGAGACTTGACCCGGCAAAAACTCTCGCAGAACACGGTGCGGGAGCAGCTCGACCCCAACCCGAAGAAGCGCAGGGCGAACGCGGCAACGCACACTGGAATGCACGTCCCTGTTGTGTTGGGGGGGGTATCGCAGGGGAGGAGGTAGCCGCATGATAAATTTATGGGTCCACGTGAAAGCTAGCAGGGAGAATTCTCTCAAGGAGACGTCTCCCCGAAAGATGCTTGTGAAGTGACCTCGATGCTTCTACACTCTGCCACTTACTTCCTACCAGTGCACGAACGGTAACCTGTGTGGCGAAGGGAAGGGTCCATCGAGCCGTTAGCATGGAAATAAAGTCTAGCACCGCCACAGGACGGGGGGGGATAGTTTGCGGAAACAAGGAGGAGGAGCAACAAGGAAAAGGTCTCCGAGAGGGCGTTCGATGAAACAGCATCAACGCACACGGTTAGGCATGTCGAACTTACGTCTGCCCAGGGAGTAACCTCACCGGGACCGTTAACAAGAACGAGGTCTGGGCGAACTGTGACCACCACAACGGCGGCATGCAGAGCGGCCAGCAACGTCGTGAAGACCGACGTTAGGTATGACTGCCCCACCTGCGACAAAGGTCGGGACTTGGCGTATTGAGAGATGGGCGTGAAGAACGTAAGAAGAAAATTGACAAACTGTAGGGCGGAAAGGTTGAAGCATGTTGTACTCAAATCGTCACGAATTTGTCTGAACGTTGGCAGGTTGAACAGGTTGAACAGGTTGACCAATTCTGCCTCTCTGCCAGACAAAACACAAATTGATGTAGATCTTGCACAGCAGTGTGCAGTAGGTTCCCTGGCAGAGCAGACAGACATGCTACCCATGAGGTCATCCAAATTAGAGCGGTTTCCCCGGACATTACCCTAATCGATGTTGTACTTCGTCGAAAATATCCACGACCAATTCATTGGCGCACGAGGACAGGAAGCGTTCCCACTTTGTGCGAATAGCAGCCAAAGATGTTCTACAAATACGCACAACGTTCCTGACGCGCCACCGGGGTTTGGCCTATCGAGAAATTGGTCACCATGGTACGGACGAACCATCGAGGCGGCGATGTAAATCGGAAAACGGGACCATGTTGTGTGACGAACGGACCTTAAACCGAGCCCCACTCCCATATGTTTTTCTACAGGGGGCCTGTGCTACTGCTGCGTCGAGGTGATCCAAACAAACGGTGAAACGGAGAATGCTGCTGCCGGACGGTGCACCAAAAAACAAGAATCACAAGTCACAGGCGCAAACCCGTTGCTCTTCTTCTCTACTGCAACTGACTCTTGCTAATACCAGGCTCCCTTGCCTCGTTTCTGGTCGGGCATGAAGCAGTTGAACGTCTCACGCCACCCGTCTTCGCCAACACACAGACAATGTACAAGCATGTTCTGGAACAACGTACAAGCATGTTCTGGAACCATCATTACCTCACGGCTTCGAGGTATCGCGCGTACCCTGCAGCGGCCTGACATCAGTCCCTCTTTCGGGATGCGGTCTGCGCTGGTGTGGTCTGTGCTCGCCACGACATAGCAGAGCGGGGAGTATGTCTCCGGCGAGAGGCGTGAGGTCAGTTTCAGCATCTCGGAGGTGTGTCCACCTTGGGGCATGGACGACAAGCGTCGGGGGGTAAGTGAGGGATGAAAAACGTCCAACAAGCGTGAAAAATTCGGGTAGAATCGCAGAGTTCCAGCTAGCAACGCGCCCTTCGTGCTTCTACCTCCAAGCAGTACAGGGTAACCATCCAGGCAAAATTCATGATGGTTGAACACCGACCAGGTGGACCCGTTGGCCAATAGCGCGCTCAGTTCTTTCCGTGCTATCGTAAAAGGTGGCGGATCGTCGCGTAGATCGGGGTCCTCACATGGACGTGAAAAAAAACAAAGAAGAACGTGATGCACTTCGAGTTCCGAATACACGTGACACCTTTTTCGGAGAAAGCAAGACTTCGAAGGAACTTTTTCGTGTCCCTTCTTCATGTCATTCACACTGATCGCCTTTTTTCTCGTCTGAAGAAAAAAGCGATCAGTGGATGAAAGACATCCAAAAGGAACACAGAAAAGTTCGTTCGAAGTCTTGCTTTCTCCAAAAAAAGTGCCCACGTGTGTGTTATCGTCTCCGTGAGTGGCGAAAAAAGTAGGGACGGGGTGCTTCCGTATATAGTCTTGTGATTTTGTTCGAGCGAAGCGAGATTTCTAATCTGGCCTGAGAGGTCTCGCCGCAGTATAGGGCTCCATCCCCCCAAAAACATTTGCAACGTCTGTTGATTTATCTAGGTTTTAGACTACGGTACATAACTGGATTTTAAAGGGGGTTCAGTCAGCACATTTTTTTTTTGCAGACCACACAGTCGATTGCAGCAGAGAACTCATGGACTGCGGGCGACACCACACAGCAGAAAACACACGCACAGCAGACAACGTACGCACAACAGGCGACACACACGCACAGCGGGCGACACCATCTGGGCTCGATGCCGCTGGACTCTCTGGGGTGTGATGAGGCTATATGTACTGCTGTCGCGCATGTGTTTTTGTTTTAATGCCGCGTTCAACTGCAAGTAATTTGAGCACAGCACCATATTAGTTCTCGAAACTTGGGACGCCGATCGCCATCACACCACTTCGAGCGTGTGATCCATTGCGATATCTCGAGGCGTGACAGTTGTGTTAGGCATGGGTGCTGTGTGTGGGAAGACCTTCGTGGCGGCGTGGAATCCAAATTGTTTTTTGGCCCGGGCAATCGAGCCGCATCGCCAGGCGAAAAAAACAAACCGGATTTCACATCGCCACGATGCTCTCGCCACATACAGCACCCACCCATGCCCAACACAACTATCACGCCCAGAGACACCACAATGGATCACACGCTCGAAGTGGTGCGATGGCGATCGGCGTCCCAGGTTTCGAGAACTAATGTGGTGCTGTGCTCAAATTACTTGCAGTTGAACGCGGCATTAAAACAAAAACACATGCACGACAGCAGTACATATAGCCTCATCACACCCCAGAGAGTCCAGCGGCATCGAGCCCAGATGGTGTCGCCCGCTGTGCGTGTGTGTCGCCTGTTGTGCGTACGTTGTCTGCTGTGCGTGTGTTTTCTGCTGTGTGGTGTCGCCCGCAGTCCATGAGTTCTCTGCTGCAATCGACTGTGTGGTCTGAAAAAAAACACCAAACAAAAAAGGACGGAAAAGGGGGTTCAGCAATAGGATGCGGGGGGGATGCATGACCACGAAAGCGGGATGTGGACGGGGGGGGGGGGGGGGAACCGGGAGGGGAAAATTAACATTACCACAGCTCTCACACCAGCGCACAGCAGGGGGACAACAA